AACTGTGCACCACACACAAAGTGAAACATGTTTCTCAGAGATAGGTCAAGTGAAGTTTGATGCTCCAAGGCAAGGCAATGGTAGGGATGAGGGCATGTAACATTTTCATGGCAGGTTTAGAGGTTTTAGTGAAGGACAAGAAAAGGGATGTGCTGTGGTCACATACCCCCATTTTTGCCTTTTTTTTTGCATTAAGAGGAAAGAAAATAATGTTTTAAAAGAAGAGTCCAAATTGGAAAGTTCAGCCAAATTGGAGCTTCCAGAGAAGAAAAATAATCAAAACATCATTTTTCAGAGGAAACTGTCTCTCAACATTGATTTTCCCAGAGTACTGCTACATACACAAAAGACCAGGATGATAACTTCCTGAATTAAGTCTAAGGTGTAGTTCACCTTTCATGACATTTATTTTTTCCTGTTTTACATGAATTCAGAGGATTCTGCAGAGATTTTGAAATCCCTGTATAATGAGCATGTCCTATTATGTTATTGCCATACTCTACACTTTAGTTTGGAAAATTAGAAATAAGTTTTCTTTGGATTAAGTCAGTTCTCTTAAAGTCTTTTCAAATTTTGGAAATAAAAATAAAAGTAATTACGTATTTATAAACAGTGAAGTATGATATTATGCAGAAGAAACACACATGCCATTAACATCACTCATGATGCATGTATGAACAGGTCACTAAAAGAAAGTTTCCCAGAAAGACTGAGGCATGAGCAGTAGTTAGAATATCAAATGTAACAAAGTTCTAGATGGACTAAGCAGAAAATCTTAGGCAAATGATAAAAGCATTCTATTTTAGTTGGCAGGTAAAGACAGTAGATTTTAAAAGGGAACATGTAATGAGAAGATGCAGTTAACAGGGGGAGGTGTCTCCTTCAATTTATTACCAAATTATAGCAATATCTAAAGAGCTTACTTAAGGGGGGTACTTTTCTATTTCATATTTATTTCCCTTGGCAAATGTCATTTGTATAGATTTTTAAATAAAAAGTGAGTGACAGGCAGAAAGAGACTCAGGAGCTAGATATTTCAATAATACAGAATATATAAGGGATTAGAAAGGAAACAAATTATGTTGTGCTTAGGACTTAAAGTAACGTGTTGATAGTTCAATGTTGCAAATTATGAAGGGAACTGGAAGGTGGTGGAAAGGTTTCAGCACACCACTCTTATGACTTGGGGTAGAAACTTACTGAGACGAGTAGACAATTCCCAAAGCTTAATACTACAAATGTGTAGTGAGCTCAATCTTCAGTACAATTTTGTGATAACAGTGCTCAGTGGACTGCAGAGAATGTGACTTGAGAATGCAAATGGCTCTATACAAAGAGTGAGAAGCCAAAGACGGTGGCCATGATGAGACGGGCAGACAAATGTATCTGGGAGGGGATGTCATGAAGTGGGTACAGTGGCGAGGGGCCAAGCAATTGAGGCAGGGCGAGTGAAGGGAAATCTCAGGTTTACCAGACGGGACAATACAAAGCAGATAATGAACTTATAATCATAAAAAGGGAGGACAATGTTTCAGACCATGAAACCTGTGTAACCACATGAAAGTAAGATCCACATTTGCACATTTGCATGTTTGAGGGCTGCAGAATCAACAAAAACAGTACCCAAAATCAACAAAACCAAATCAACACAAACATGCTAGAGAAAACAGATGTTGACTGCTGGGGACAGCTACATTAGCAGGTGCAAGCAGAAGTCTTGAATAAGCATATTGAAGGAGAATCCAAAGAGGTAAAACAGAGTGTCCTTCAAGTTCTTTGCCACTGTTTGCCAGTGATGACATTTTCAGTCATTGCCCATTGAGTGGAATAAAGAATCTATTCCAAGGCAAAATAAGAAGCTGTTGTGACAGTATGCAAGACTTCACAATGTACCTGCAGTACCACGTCCCTGGAAGAACCTACTGGGGGACCTATGTGGGAAGAAGGTTAGTGTGCCCTTCCATCTTCAAATGCCCCAATCAGGCCTGGGAAGACTTGGAGCAAATGATCACCCAAAAGACAGGAAATGGCTTTTGTTTGCTTTGCTGCTGTGCTACGGTTCCTGTGACCCACTCGCCTAGCCTGAAAGAAGCCACTTCATAAATTCACCTCAGGCAAATATAAAAAAATAAGGAGCACACTCCTCTGAGGATCTGTTAGTTAAGTGTCTGCCATCTTCATTTTAGCACTTTGGAGAACACACTCTTTAAAAGATTGGCCATTTGTGCAAACTCTGCGGGCAATTTAGATGCAGGCTTAGCTGAAGGCACAGCCATCTTGAAGGAACTGGTCTACACAGAAATTGTCAGGTGACAGCTAACTAAAGGAATCACTTTTTGTTTGAATGAGAAGTGGTTTTTTACACGTTAACTAGGTTCAAACATTTGTACTTCTCTCTTTTAATTGTCTGTAAACATTGTTTACATTCAATCACAGGTGGCTGTGTGTTGACATGCCTATCCCCCATATCTATTAACTGACTAGTGAAAGAATGAGTGAATGATGGAGTGTATCATTTGCTTTCATTCTACTTTTTGAATGCCACTAGCTTCTCTGAAATATAAAAAGTCTTATAGGAAGAAAGTAGAAAAAAAGTGTCTATCTCTATAAATTAAACTTCTGATTTGGAATATGGGAGTAGGTCCTTTGATGTTTTAGAATCTAAAAGATAACAAAGCATTCATTTACACACTTTATTCTTAGCTTAAGATAACATGTTGATCATTCTCCACTTCTTTTTAACAAATGCAGGATCCTTATATTTTTCACTTATTCTGAATTAAGCTGAACATAAAAACCACATTTTGTAATATATATTAACAAAACCTAAATGGGTGAAGTTTTGGAGTTCAAGAGATTAATTCAACTTTTTATGGAAACATTTGCAATAAAACCAAAGTTAATGAACATTCTGACAGAATATATTTAAGGTTTATAGTTTCTTGAAACATGTACACAGAAGCAATGAACCAAAAGTAAAGGACATTGGAGGACATACCTGGTCTGCTATAACCATATTATATCAGCTTTGGTATAAATGTGTACAAACTACTGAAAACCGCTTTATGGTGTGTCCGTGGTATCATCATAGTTCACAGAAATACAAAATTTTAAAAGCCTTATTTGTTCATAGGCATCTTATAACATTAATATATTCAATAGTAGTACTAAAATATAATAAAACAATTATTTTCGGATGGATTTGTTTTGCAACTTCAAGTTTTTCTCTTTACATGGTGTGGCTCAGATGATTGAGCACCAACCTATGAAACAAAGGGTTGCCCATTCAATTCCCAGTCAGGGCACATGTCTGAGTCGTGGGTCAGGTCCCCAATAGGGGGTGCTCAAGAGGCAATCACACACTGATATTTCTCTCTCTCTTTCCCTCTTTGTAAAAGTAAATAAACAAAATCTTTTAAAACAAACTTACTGTACTTTTTCCAGACTATTTATTCCCCTTATACCCTCTTATTTGAGTTCAAACCATGGTTCCTCTACCATTGACATGTTTTATGTTAAATTTCATGACCCAGGGGTTTTCGGAAGCAGAAAATGAGCTCACCCCAGAGTGCTGTATACACAGTTCTTATTTCTGAAACAAAGACATTTCCCTCTTTTTAGAATAGCTATGCTAGATAAAGTTGCCAATATTTCCGTTCTCCCAAATTCGAACTTTTAAGTAACTGAGCAACAGATCCATTTCTAAATTTGCCACAATGGTTGAGAATGTTATAACGTCTACAATCTGGAGAACTTCTCTCTCGCTCTCTCACTTTACTTAGCTACAGCATTTCACTGCCCTTGCTTCCCTCTTTTCAACTGGAGAACTCTTCTGTGATCTTTTGCTTTCTGGGAGGAGCTGACTCTCAAAAAGTCATCACCACCAGGCCACCATGATAACATAGTTTGGACAGGCATTTGAAAACTCACAGAAAGGTATATTGACTGAAAACTCTCTCGGTTTAATTTATCTCTCAAACATTAATGAAAATTCATTTTGACATCCTAGTCATGCTCCATTTTCAGGTAGTCATCACACTCAGAAAGACATGCGGGGCTAACAGATCACTCCTGTCCCAGCACAGACACATTTTTCACAAAATTTTAACCTTAAACTAGAACAGGACAATTCATCTTAAATATGGTACTCACGTGTCAACAGAAATACTGTTACGGTACATTTTGCTTTCTAATATGGACTGCATTGAAGACTCAATTCATTTGATTTGCAAAATACTTGACATTAGAATCTTAAAGGAGATGCATTTCTTCCAACCCAAAAGCATGCTGAGGAAACTAAGGCACACATTCCAGGAAAGAAATGTCAGTGAACAGCTGAAATTGCACAGTGAACAGTGGCTGTGCAATTTAACTAATGAGGTCATTAAATTTTACCAAAATGTGTGAGACTGTACATTTTTGGCAGCAGAAAACCAAAGTTTTCTCAAAAGCCACACTGTCCACATATATGTAAGCAGAACTGAAAATCTGCACATGGAAAGATGAGATTCTAAAAGCCAGTTTCTCAGAGAACATCAATTTGCTAATGAAGCCCCTTTAGCTTAGTTACAGTATTTTCCCTGTGACCCTATTAGACATCATCATGCTACATAGTCACTAACTTTTGCTGTCACCACCGAATTGTGAATTGACACCAAAATGGTTTCTTTTATTGCTAAAATTTATCATAAAATAAGTGCATTACCAGAACATTCACAAAGTGATGCTGTCAGCAGTACGATAGTTTGGCACCGTGGGAACAGAAAGTGGTGGTAAAAAAGAAAATAAAGTAAGACTTGAAAATGGCTTCCAGGACTGTGTCAGTGATACAAAATGTGGAGACAGCTCAGCTTGCAGCGTTTTTGTTGCTACAGCATATACTGACGAAACTTACTACTGAGTTTGAACGCCACGTAGTAGCTACTGTAGCCTCTGACATTTAAGAAAAAAATAGCACAACATATTTTAAAATTAATTCTCTTTGAAAATTACAATCTTACCTTTCCTGCCCTTTTCCCCTCGGATTTCTGCTGCTTTACGATAAAAGGGAGGCAGAGGAAGCAAAGGGAAACAAAACAGAAACATACATCAGCTCCAATTTGTTATTGCAAGTACATTTAAAACTGTTCTCACTGGCTGAATTCTTCAGTGGTTTCAGTCAAGGTATATAACAACATTGTAAATGTCATGCAACAATATGAAGAGCCATATAAACAACTGATCACCAACAAAAGGTGAAGTTTTATGCTTAGTCAACAGAGGCATCCTTCCAGTGATACATTGTCTTATTATGTGACATATTTTCCATCCATTTGTAATGAACGGTCTTTTCTCTCCAGCATAACACATTTCTTAATAAAAACTAGGCTGGCTGGAAATTCAGGAATTAAGAACAAACAAAAAATATCTACACCACATTGGGTGCTTTCTCTACACGTTCATTTTGAGGGTGCCTAGGAGCCATCATTCAGTTCTGCCTCTTTGGAGTCATCCTGGTAAAGTTACCTTGTTCATTGTCGTTTACAAACGTGTTTCCCCCCACTCAATGTCAGGAGACAGGTTAAATTATTTTTCAAAATTCCATAAACATCAAGGCCACTTGTGGTTAGATTCACACTCCTTTATAGATGGTGATAAAGGAGTGAAATGTCTACATTTCCAGCTAATGAGACTCTCAAGTCCTCTCTCCCCAAGTTTTATACCAGCTCCTTGTCACCTCTACAGTTATGCAAAAGTTTCTTTGAGAGCATGTTGGGTACAAAGAATCCCAGGAAAGTAGGGTGGAGGTGGGCTTGATTTTGAAATAGGGTAACTACAGAGAGATACAATTAATATAGTAAGAGGAGGGACGCTCTTGATTTTCTATCCTATAGATTTCCCCAGATTAAGAGGGTATATATTTTTTCCTGCCATTTTACTACAACTTGAGTTTCCAAAATTGACATTGAAGCAAATATCCAAACATGGGCAAAATTCTATTACCTCAGGAAATCAAACTGTGTTTGTTTTCCTTCCATTTTGGGTAATTGTTTTAGATGATGATGTTCACATTGTCCTTCCGTGATCAAATTCAGCTTTCATCGGCTCAGTGTTAAAATTCTATTTAGCTGTAACCTCTTTCAAGAAAGTGTCCTTGAATTTTAACATCTTTAAACAGTCAGTGTTTATATCTCTATTCTGAATGATAATTCTCCAGTAGCAGGTTTAAAATGTGACCTCTCCAACCAAAATAATCTCAAGGATGAAATAAACAAAACAAAACCAAAAAAAACAACAATTTTTTCCATATCTGAGAATATAGTATTTAAAAAACACCATTCTTTACTTTAAAGAACCATAATGGATCTTTCTGTAATTTCAACTCCTTAACAGTTAAGGAGTAGTTACATTTATACAGCCCTAAAATTATTTCAGCCTCGTGAAGGCAACAGCAAGGCTGGTGTGGCCCCTGATGAAAATGAGTTTGATGCTCCTGATTTACAGTATCAGAATAAGAGTCAGATGAAGGAGTGGAGAAGCAATGTTTTATTAGATATTCATTATAGAATGGATCTAACAAAGCTAAACTGGAATGAAATATTCTTAAAATGAGGTAGAGGCAGGCTATTATGGGTGGTACCAGATTCCCAGACTTCCATCAGAAAGCCTATGACAACCTTCACAGGATCTTGGTGGCTTATTCAAAACCCCAAGCTTGCTTATACTACGACAGTAACAAAAGTAATGCGACAAACGCATCTGCTTTCTGAAAATATTGTGTGTCAGTTGAAATAACGTTTCGTTTTTAAGTATGTGAATTTTGTGTAAAGACACCTTTGTTTGCTGCTAAAGACTGATGCGACAGTTTCCCACGTCACTGCAGGTGACAGCTCACTGGAATGTGCCTGACTGAGAAGGGTGTGTGGCATCTATGAAAGCCTGTGGATGCTCGCAAAGTGAAGACCAAAGCAAGAAAGTGGTTATGGGAATAGACATCAGAACACAAATGACCTTCCATATTTAGTAGGAGAAAAATACTCCTTAAAAAGATAACAGCTACTGGAGTGTTTAAATCTGTGAATACATGGTTTTTATCTTAAATCAAAGTATTATAAACCAAATATATGGTAATAAGTAACAAATAAAGAGTGAGCTGTGCACTTGCCTTTGTATCAAACTCAGGGATCGACAAATAAATATTTTAAAGTAGTATTTACTGGCTCATAAGCATGAAGATCAAAAGAAAGTTAAATGTTGATATATAGTCTTCCTACATAAATACTACTTTAGTATATAACTTTCTAATAGTGAATTGAAGCTAGGATATAGTTGTAATATCCTTTTAATTTATCACTATGCTTTAGTTGTAATCTAATGTTATCTAGCTTATAACAAATTGTTATTTTAATTATATGATACACATTATCATCTTTTACTTATTTCTTAGGTGGGAAGAATATTATCTTCCAGGATTATCATATGGTTTTCCCAAGTTCTTAGTTGATTGCTGATATAGATTGTGTTCAATTTCAAACTCCTCTAGCAATTCCATGCTGAACTTCCACTTTCAGTGCCTTTTTTGTGGCACCCTCAACTTCACTGCACGCCACCTAAGAAACCTGTAACTTAAAGCCCTTACTTTGTTCTCAGCTGAATTCTTTGTTTCCAAGCTTCTGGGGTTTCCTTAAACCTGTCTTGATATTATCAACTCAAATGAAGTTATGAGTTGATAATATCTGTAGTAGGCAGTATAGTATCTTCCAAAATTGTGTGTCCACCCGGAACTCAACATTTGATCTTATTTGAAAATAGGGCTATTCCATCTTATCTGGAAAACAGATGAATGAAGTCTTCCTGGATTTGGGATGAATCCAGCAACTGGTGTCCTTCTATGAAGAGAACACATGGGGACAGAAAGAAGGCCATGTGATGACAAGACAGACCCTGGAGTGCCGTGGCTGTACCTAAGAATGACAGAGATTGCCCGGGATGAGCAGAAGCTGGAAGAAGCAGAGATTATACCCTAGGGATCCCCTTCCATTTCAGGAAAAGAAGGGGCCAGGGTAGAAAATGGGTTCATTGTAAGGAAGCCTGGAATAGGGAGAAGACTATCCAGTCTTCTGCCAGTTGAAGATGCAGATACAAGTTCTAGTTCCCAGTCATTCATTTGTAGAAATGTACAACTGCAATTTTGACAACTGTAACATTTTAAGTATTATAATAGGCATGTAAATAAAATGCAATGTCACAAGGAGGCAAAGAGTTGTTTGACAATCAATCTGAACTTTTCAATCTGTAAAAGGGAGAGAACAGTAATCTTAGAACCTCTAGAGATTATTTTGAAGGTCAAAGAAAATTCTGTTTCTCCCCATCCCTCCCTTCTCCTCTCCCAATTACTTTTGACATCTACTATGATAAGAGTTGTATGAATCAGACAGTGTCTTATTTAATATATTATCTTAATTAATCATTGAAATAGTTCATCATAGTTAATACATTTATCCTATTTTTATATGTGTGGAAACTGAGGCATGGAGATTTATACTATTTGCCAAAATTGTGTAGAGTATAAATTAGGAAATAAATATTCTTTTCACTGGGGCCTGTTAGATATTTTAGATATAAGTGCATAAAAATAAATATTACCATGCTAGGAGCTAATGCCCTATGTACCCCAATACCTGGCAATATTTATTTAAATTGTTTGCTGTATCATGTTAGATAATGTATGATGTATGCTGTAGAATCTCATCTCCCATGAAATCAGTTTTGTTCACTTAGTTATAGATTTAGCAGAGACATAAAGTGAACTTAATTAAAGGCACACCTTAATATTTACCAGTGCTCAACCCCAGAATCTGCGATGCTGCCAGACTTCCGTAATTCGGAAATAAAAGTGCTCTTCCTGAGTGATCCACAAAGTCTTGAATTATCAAAGACTCACATTAAAACTGCATAAGACAGGGTCTGCGCTTTATTTAAAACGGCATTTCATTCCCTGGAGGCTCATCTGCCTCAGGCATCTTCCCAGTATTTAGGTCTAAAGTATCTGAAATATTTTAGGCTTGCACCTTTTTTACTGCTTTGTGAATCTATCATGTAGATTTTTATTTTTTCCCCAATTTACCACACTGACATTGCTATTTTCAGCCTGTGATTCAACATAAAACAGCAGATAGTTCCATTTGTCTCTCCGGCTGAGTTTCTTCACAGCAGAGCTCTGCACTCAGGACGTTTTTATTTTTATGATTGGTTATTTATTGTGAGTAGTTTTAGAAGAATGAGAGAGTTGTCATTTCGTGAAGCTTTAACTGAGCAATTTTATCTGTCAACAAATATTTATTGAACACCTACTATTTGACAGGCATAGTCCTTAGGATCAAGGACTCTGGAAGTGTACTGCCTGACTCAGAATTCAGCTCCTCCGTTTATTAACAGTGTGACTTTGGACAAGTTGCATAACTAGTCTATTTGGTTCTTGGCTCCGTGTATCTGTAAAACACTGCTGTTAAAAACAGCAGCTACATTAAAGGGCGTACTCAGTCAATACAGTAAATCACTTACCACACTGTCATGTAGTATTCATTATCATCATCATTATTATTTTAATCATGCAGGGTTGTTGAAACCTTGAGAACACGACGATAAACAAGGAAGGATTTTATAATCCACTGGCCGTGTCAGCTACTAAAAAATACTTAGAGATGATCAATAACTTAATTGCTGGTATATAGGAAAGTGCCTTAGCCCTGGCTGGTGTGGCTCAGTGGACTGAATGCTTGTCTGGGAACCAAGGGGTCGCCAGTTCAATTCCCAGTCAGGGCACATGCCTGGGTTGTGGGCCAGGTGCCCAGTAGGGGGCGTGTGACAGGCAACCACACACTGATGTTTCTCTCTGCCTCTTTCTCACTCTCCTTCCCCCTCTCTAAACATAAATAAATAAAATCTTTGAAAAAAAGTGCCTTGAGTGGTAGTGAAATACTGAGACAGAGAAAACTTCTGCTTTGGGGTCCCCGAGGGAATCGCTACCTCATGAAAATGAGTTATAGAAAAC